GGTCAATGGAGAAAAAAAGAAGACATATGTACTACTATTTGTAATACTTTAAACAATAAAATAAAAATTTTTTAAAAAAGAAGAAAGAGGTTTGGTAGAGAAACATGATGAATTTAGTTGTGGACAAGCTGATTCTGAAATTCTTGTAGGCAAATAGGTGGAGCTGACTAATAGGTAAATAAATATATGCGTCAAATGGTTGAAGGAAAGATCATAACATCTGCAGGGCTTGGGCAGGAGTATAGATAAGCACATACCAAGGAACTAAATATTTAAAAGTTATAAATCAAACTAACTTATTGTTAAATAAAATACACTATCTCCTTTTACCTTGACAAATACATGTTTGTAATGATAAGAAATTTTAATTATGTGTAACGCAATGGTTTCATATGACTGAAAGTTGGCAAAATGGCAAAAGACAACTTGGGAGTTCCTTTGATGGGTTGGTGATTGGGATGGGTCATACCATCTACACTAATAAAAGAGAAACATGCAAATTGTGTTGCTCCGCTACACCCACCAGCCAATCAGAGTGACTATGCAAATTAACCCAACAAAGATGGCGGTTAATGGAGAGAGATAGAAACATCAATAATGAGAGAGAATTATTGATCGGCTGCCTCTTGCACATACGCAGGCACGGAGCTAAGACTGAAGACTGAAGAGGCTTGGCTTCTCCACTGCGGCTGGACCAAAGGCCTGGCTGGGTCCCTGGTGCCGGAGGAAAACCAGTGCCAGCAGCCAGGGGAAGGAAGGCCTATTGAGTGGATCTTTGTGAAACGGGCTTCTAGTATATACATAATTCATGAATTGTTGTTTATTTCCTCCATAAAATTTATTTTTGTTTCAGCAAAATTTTCAATAATGTTGTTATAATGAAGATTTTCACATTATTTGTATTCAATTGACAGTAGTGATCATGATTTTCACATTATTTGTATTCAATTGACAGTAGTGATTACTCAGAGTTAAAAATAAATGTAACTATTCAACGAATACAAACTTTTAAATAAATTTCTATAAAAACATAAATCAAACTAGTGTAAAAATTTTAAAGTTCTTTTTCTTCTAAACTATTCAAAACCATCGCTTCTCAGCCTTTTTGTTAAGATCAAGTGTAGACAGAACTTGGCTAGAGATCCTGGCTAGGCTGCTGATCAACTGAACGCTGTCTCCGTGTCATTCCTTCTTCGCCGACTCTGTCCACACCTTTGGGGACCCCTGGACCTGCTGGGGTTGGACCCCAACACAAAGGTTTAGAACCCCTGACATTATTAGCAGGTGTGAACTAATGACAAATTACACAGAAAAGATGATTGAAGATATGCAAAGGCAAATTGCCCATTGTGGAGAGGAAGAGAGAGACAGAAACATCAATGTTGAGAGAGAATCATTGATTGGCTGCCTCCTGTATGCCCTCTACAGCAAGCATGTCAAACTAGCAGCCCATACGGCCCACAACGAATATTTTTGCGGCCCAGCCAATATAACGTTAGAAGTAACCTGTCCTCAGAACACTGACTGCGCATATTAGTGAGAATCTGCTTCATTGCTGCCAATTCCTGTTGATATATGAAAATAGAAGAAAACAGCAAGTATGATTTCAGCACATCTATAATAATAAAAGCGTAATATGCTAATTAAAAAAAAGATCAAGTGTAAACTACTCAAAACCATTAAAATTAAAAAGGAAAATACAAATACTAATTAATCAATATCAATAATTTGGATCAAAATTTCTTAAAGTTGAATGTTTAAATTTTTGACAATTTAAATTCTATTCACTTTTTAAAAAAATTTTTAAATTGATTTCAGACAGGCAGGGAGAGGGAGAGAGATAGAAACATCAATAATGAGAGAGAATTATTGATCGGCTGCCTCTTGCACACTCCCCACTGGGAATCGAGCCTGCAACCTGGGCATGTGCCCTTGACCAGAACCGAACCCGGGGCCCTTCAGTCCACAGGACGATGCTCTATCCACTGAGCCAAACCATCCAGGGCTCTATCCACTATTTTTATAAAGATAGAACTATTTGCAACTCCAGCAACATTTATGTTTTAGTCATCTTTTGCTGCATAACAAATCACCTCAAAACTTGGTGGCTTAACACAATGATCTTTTATTTCTCACCATTTATTTCTGTGGATTGAATAGCTGGTTCTTCTACTAGTCTGGCCCAGCTCATTCAGGAGACTGCAGTCATGATGGAGGGTCTAAGATGACCTCATTCACATGTTTGGGCCTTTGAGGGATGGCTCGGAGGCTGAGCCCTCTCTCTCCATATGGTTTCTCATCACTCTGTAGTCTGGATCCCAGCAGGAAAGCAGAAGTTGCCAGGCCTAATGCCCAGGCCCTGAACCCCCAGTCACCTCTGCCACACTCTCTTAATCAAAGCAAGTCATAAGGTCACCCCAGATTCAAGTGGAGAGAAACAGAATCCACTTCTTTTTTAAAAATATTATGTTAATTTATTATGTGTCGGGCCCTGAGCTAAGTACTCTACAAATATCAACTCATTTATTTTTTCTTAATAACACTCTAAGGTAGGCAATTTAATTATTCTTATTTTACAGATGAGGCAGAGATAAATGAAGTAACCTGCTCAAGGTTACATCATACTAGTATGTGGTAGAGCCAGGACTCAACCCCAGGCAATCTGGCTGCAGAATCCATACTCTTCCCTCTTAAACTATGTTGCCTCTCTTGTTTAGTTGTTTAATGAAACACAAAGAATCTTCTAGCTCTAGGATTCCTTTGAAATTCAGCTTATAAACACCAAAAGCCCTTGAGACTGATGTCAAACTCCTATTTCCGAAAAACAAACAAACAAACATATTTAATGAAACTTCTGTGTGCTAGACTCCAAAGGAAAATCAATAATTATGACATATCTGTCCTTAAGAAGATTTCTGTTGAGTAGTAGTACATGACAGAGCTAATTTGGTGTCATAGGAGAGGCCTAGTATGATGGGGATCAAGGAAAAGCAGAAATCACATTTAGTTGAGGCATATTCTACCTCTTGATGGGAAAAATGGCATAAGTGGACAAGAATGGGAAGAATGATTGGCAGCTCTCTTTGCAGACAATTTACCAGAGCCCATCAGGTTGCCAAAGTAAAGGACTGGTTATTTATGCAGCTTCGCATGTTATGCCTAGACCTACATATACACAAATAATCTATACTAATAAAAGAGAAAGATGCAAATGGACCATCCCTCCATGATGCCCACAAGCCACGCCCATCAGCCAATCAGACGTGAGTATGCAAATTAACCTGACAAAGATGGTGAGTTAATTTGCATATGCAGGTGTCAAGTGCCCCGGCCGGGAACGGCAGCCATGGGGCTCCCGGGACCATCGCTGGCCCCGGAAGGTGAGGCTGGCCGCGCCTAGCCACGCCCGTGGGCTCCCGGGACCTTCACCAGCGGAGAGCAGAGCGGGAGAGCAGGCGGAGAGCGGGAGGTTTGGAAGACTTGGCAGAGCAGGAGGCTGCTGGGCATAGAGCAGAGCGAGAGAGAGGGCGGCTTGGAGGGCATGGCTCCCTCTGTCACCCCAGCTTCCTCATCACAGCTGTGGAAACTGACAGTAGGGAGGAGGAAGTCCCACCCCCACAGAATCGCCAGAATCAGCCATTGGTCAGACAGCTCTCAGCGGCCTGATAGCCAGGACTCTCATTCACCTGCATCTCAGACCGTGACAATAGAGAGGTGGGACTATGTCTAAAGAACAGCTGTTGATACAACATAGCTCTGCAGCCGAAAGATGCCGGCGTTATCGTTAGGCCCAGGCAGGGGTGGCTGCAGCTGGGGGTCCCCGCTGCCTGGGCCTAACGCCTTGGCCAGAGGCGTAAGGCCTGGGCAGGAGCGGTGCCAGCGATCATGGGGAGTAGGGGCAGAGTCGCTGATGGTGGGAGCTTGGG